TACAATAATGAAATAACTAATACTAATAATAATATAATAATAATAATAATAATAATAATAATAAAATAATAATAAATTGTTCTATAACAATGTAAAAGATGACAATCTGATTACATGAAGGCAGCTTAAGAGTCTTCAAGACCTGTTATACAAAGAAAAAAAAGCTAAATGGTTTAGTAAAATAGAAAGAAAGGTGCTAAAAATATAAGTGAATAGAGAAATACAAGATAATCACAAAGTAAAAGAATACAATACACAAGCATTAAAGATTAAGTAAACAAAGATGTCTAAAGACTGAAGAAAAAAAGAATGGATCACTTATGAACTGAAACACAATCAGCAATTAGACAAAGTAATTAAGAAGAAAAAGAAAAAAGTATTAACAAAACATTGGTCAATGCATACAGAAAAAGAGAGGACAGTAACAAAATTAAGTGTATACAAAGGTTGTGAAAACAGTTCAGAACAAATGACAAACAAGTATGAAAGATAGATAAGATGAGACCACAATATAAGAGTAATATTAGAGTTACTAATAAAGAAAGCTAATAATAGGATAAATGCAATATTAAAACAAATACAAGAAGATAGAGCAATAGAAGAATAGAAAAGAGATAAGATGAAGTTGTTAGAAATAAGACAAATAGAAGAATTAGAAGTAGAATTAATTAGAAAACAGAAATTAAACAGCATAATTACAAATTAGTTAGTAGAGATATTAATATGAAACAAGAAGAGAGACAAGAAAAAATACAACTTTTATACTGATGGAGCACTATACAAGAAGAAAAGTGAAAACAGCACAAAAAAAATAGGCATTGGTTAGGTGCAAATAGAAAAAGAAGAAGATTGGTCAGAGGAAGAAACTGCATTGGGACTTGAAGGTTGGTTTTCAGTAACAATAGCAGAATTAGCAGCAATATAAACAACAATTTTAACAGTATCAAAAAAGAAAAGTGTAAAAATATTTACAAATAGCATTGCAGTATTAAGAAACATTAGTAGAGTACTTCAAAATATAGAAGAAGAAAGAACTCTAAAGAAGAAAAATGCAATATGAATAATAAGCATTGTAGGTCTAATCAAGAGCAAGAATATTTAGATAGAATTAACTAAGATTAAAAGCCATAGTGAAAACAAATGAAATGACAGAGCAGACTTTCTTGCAAAAAAAGAAGCAAATTGCTAAGATAAAATATATGCAGATAAAGTCAAATGTGACAGGATAGAGTACTATTTAGAATAGGAAAACAAGAAAATTGACATATCAGCAAGACTTCTGTGTAAAATAATAGCAAATGCCAGAATAGAAGTCAGTTAAAGAGAAACGAACCCAATACAAATATTAGAACCAGATACAGAAAATGCACTATATAATTGGTCGAGCTTTTGAAAAAAAATAAACAGAACAAAAAGAGTCTATTATATGTCAAAAAAACTCAGCACAAGAAGAGCTACAGCAATTAAATACATAATAGATAGCTTACCAACACTTGAGAAGCTAAATAAAAGAAAACCAGAAGTATATACAATGACAGAGTGTCAAGTATGCCAAGTTGAAGAAAAAGAAACTCAGGCATATTTAGCGAGTTGTAGTGGACAAAAAAGTCTGTGGAAGCAGATTTAAAAAGTTACAACAGTAACAGCATAGAATGGACTCAAGAAAGAAGAAAAAAACAGAATCTCACCACAAGTTCTATATAAGGAATTATTTGAAGAAACAGAAGCTAAAGAAATCACAAACAGAAAAGTGCTAATAAAGAGATTCACAATACTAAAAGTAGGGAAAAAACTCGAGCGACTCTTAAGTAAGCAGGCAATACAGAAGTGCATAAATATAGTTACAAGAACAGTATGGAATATCTTCTATGACTAAATATAAAGAGTATGATGTAAAAAAATACAAGCCTAAGAGAAAAAGATCAATATAACAAACAAAATAAAAAAAGGTGCCCATGCAAGAGAAAAAACAAAAAAGAGAATAAAGAAAAATAAATAAATAAAAGAAAAAGAAAAAGAAAAAAAATTAGAAAAATTAGACCAAATGAAAAAAAAAACTTTGAAGACAATAAATATGCTTGTCACAGAAAAAAGAAGACCCTTCTGGTATGGCTTTAAGTAGTTAGACAAGCAGTTTATCTCTAACTAAGATAGTGTAACAGGTTGCACTTAGGTACCATTATGGTGGCTGAATGATGCTAGACTTAGATATTAGGAAATTCTATATAATTGTATAAATATATAGTTTTAAAAATCTTAATAAAGTACTAGCATAGAGGATGGCGATCCTAGTATAGTGGTTAGGTTGTCATCTTCCAAGTGGCAGGTCTAAGGTTCAAATTCCACCTACAATGAAATTTGTAAATTAATCTGTATTACAGCAAACTGTCTCTTGATGATTGGTTGGATTTGTGTATCTGTAACCTTAAGTCGCACTATCTCGAATGGGAGCTCAGGGCATCTATGCCAAGTGTAATATTACACATACATAAAGAAATGTTAATAACCAGTGTCATATAAGACTTCAGTGCAAACCCATGATAAAACCACCAGGTGCAGTAAACTAAGGAACTGAAGAGTCAAAAGCCCACTTGGAAATTCCTGAATAAAAAGGTAGCATGAACTTTTGATAGTATGGTCAGACCAATGAAAGCCTATGAAACACCCCAAAGAGATAGGCAGATAAACTGGATATCAAAATGTGTAGAGAAGCACATGACCAACCAGGCTGCCAGAATCGTTAGAGGAAAAAGATACATAAATATACCATACCAGGCTATCTGAATTGGAAGTTGAGAGAGTCCTGTCAGTTCTGAGTAGTGATTAGTAAGGGATAATGAAGAAGATGTCATGATAATAGGTACTGGAGTTCTAGTGAACTTTACAAGGATAGAAATAATGTAACATAGCAGTTAAACAGATAACTCCTGTAACTGCAAGTGTTAGATAACTATAACATGTTGCATAAAACTAGATTAACTGTATATGAGACATGGAAGGTTCTAATAAGTTTCCTGTCAAGGATAAACTAGTCCTAAGGGTACTTGAAGACATCAGGTACTTTGGATGAGTGTAACCTTGAAGTTGTCCTCATGAGACATGATGGACTACATATGCAGAGAGTTTAAATAGGCAAGACCTGTAGTTGGCTTGCAAGTATGGCACCTAGTGTAGAACCTGTATAGTAATATATAGGTGGACTACTTAAATTAGGCACCAAAAGTGCATGTGTTGCTAGTTGTAACCTCAATGTAAGAGAGCCCCTGGAGGCACCCGTGTTCAAATACATGAATAAAAACATCAACTCCCATAGACAGGGACTTTAACTCAAAAAAATAAAAAAAATAAAAAATAAAGTACTAGCGTAACTGCTTAAGGTTAAAAAAAAAAAAAAAAAAATAACTAATAATAAATATAATATAAAATACAATAATGAATATATATATAACTACTAATATTATTATATAAATTGCTATGCTAAAAATCTACTTTGTAACAATATATATTCTCATAAATTAATTTTTAAAACCAGAAACACTATAAGTAAATTAAGACAGCCATCAAAAGAAACACCAACTTCTGTTATACATGGCAAGATATGCCATAATGATGTTGACACGAGAGTGAAATTTACATTGACGAAAAATTCCCTTCAATTCAGATTCGAAATTATGCAAAAAAAAAAAAACTGGGTTGTATAATAAAAAATAAATTTGTCAATTATCTATATACTTTATTAATTAACACAATATTTTTATTATATAATTATATATAATATATTTACAATTATTAAGATAATATTCCTACTATATAACCCTTTTAGTACATTTTCAGATTCCGTCTTTTTTTTTCTCAAAAAATTTATTTATAAAATCTCTCTTTAAACTGTATAATAAACTATCTATACAAAAAAAAAAAAGTTGTCCACTTTCGAAATTAGTCATACGTAATCGTTATAATAATTTTGAATCGCTAGCTATGAAAGATGTTTGTTTTTTTTTTAAAAAAAAATAACGAATTTCCTGCGGTATATCGAAAAAAAGTACTTATTTGTTCTTAACAATTGAATAGTTGTAGGAGTTTTTTTTTCGAGAAATTTACAAAAAAATCATATTTTTTTTTCGTACACACAACTACTAATTGACAAATAAATGCGTAGAAATTCTTTAACCCTTGGTAATTTCGTAAATGGTGTGGAAGGGGGGATCGATCATACGTAATTAATTTTTTCGAATTTTATCTTTATGGTTTTTTTTATCTTTGTGTTGCGTAAAGACTTAAATTCCACAAGCTTCGTAATTTTCATAGTAAGGATATTGATATTGAAATTTTGCTAATAAAAATAATAATAATAAAATAATGATCATAAGAATATGTTAATTAGATAACCATGGAAATAAAGAAATTGATGAAAATAAAAATAAAATACATACAAATTCCTACGATTGTCCAACATAAATAATCATCAACTTCTTCGACAATTGTAGAAGTTGCATCAGATTTTGTACAAGGAATATTTTGCATTGATGAAACCAATCGAAAAGGTTCTTTTGCAAATTCAACATTTTGCATATGAACTACTCGAGAAGATTGATAACCTAGAAAAGGTGAAGCACCACTAACAGTACATTGATCTTGTAATTGAGGACTATCCATCGTTATTGGACCAGCGGCACTAAGATAATGAGATTCTCGACTGTTCATACGGACACATTGTAATGCAATTTTTTGCATTTGACTAACAGGACCACAAGCACCTTGAGCAATACGACCTTTCTCCACTTTACGAATAATTAAATGATCGGAAATAAAACCAGTCGTAGGATCAGAAAGGACAACTTCAGAACCATAAGTAATCTGAGTCTTTGAACATACGGAATTAGAAGGAGAACCAGGAGAAGAAATCGGAGAAGAACCTTTCGAGGAATTTATAGGTGAAAAAGAACCCGACTCGTTGTTGATATTGTTGTTATTATTTACTACGGTTATAACGAAAGAAGACCAAGTAGAATTCTTTGCACATAATTCACCACTTTCTATACCCATATATTTAGTTCGTACGGTTTGAGAATTAATACGATTAAAAAGAGAAATATGATCACCAGAAGAAATACAAGAAGAAATATTTCTAGCTTTTGCAGTTTTTTTAGAAGGTTTTGATATGATAGTGACAGGATCGGAATCAAACATAGCATATGGAATAGTAGAATTCTTATGAAAAATTTTTAATTTAAGAGTGAAATGTTTTGCTTTAGCAGTGCCACTAACATGTAAATATTTAAAGGTACCCTTCATATTTTCATCAAGCATAGTCCTTTGTTCCATTGAACGTTCACCAGTTTCACATACAACAGACATTGAAACTTCAGGTTTTATATGAAAATTTCTACAAGAATTTAAAGGTTTTTCAAGAATGACCACAGGCGGAGGACATAAAAACCTTTTTTCACTACCATAAGATTTTTGAGCAACAGAAGCATGATAACAAGTAATAGTGGTAAAATGAAAAGGGGTAGAAGAATCATTTTGACAAAGAAGTAAATTTTGAGAAGAATCAGAGGGAACATCAATGGAAGGATAAGAAGGATTATGTATTATAGTATCATTAATAGATAAAGATCTACGTATTTTTGTACGAGATTCTCTTAGATAAGTACCAGTTACAAGGGAATCACATTTTCTTTTGTTTGATACTAAATGGTTTTTATTTTGAATTAAAGGAGAAGGAGAATTACGCGTACGATCAACGTCACCTACGGCCTGATTCACGCTTGGAAGGGGGAAAGTACTTAAAAAAATGTTCGCAGGAGGCGAAGGTTGTAAACGAGGGAAAGGAATAGAATCAGTAGGAGAAGGGACAGACATAGGAGCCGAGGGTAGCATAGAAGCTAGTGGAACGGGAGAAGTAGCAGGAGAAGATTTCGTCGGGGAAGTGGAAAGACCCGGAAAAGTTAAAGACGTATCTGGAGGAGTAAGAGGAGACGAAGATTTTATCGGTTGGTCCGAATCTATCAACGAAGAGATAGACATTGCATCGGGAGTAAGCATATTTTTTGAGATTGGAGGTGGTAGTAATCTATGAATTTGTTCATATCTAGTATGTTCATCTTGATGGTATGAGCGTTGGTCCGGAATTTCATCTTGTGATACAGAAGTATTTGAGCCGATATTTTTTGGTTTTAAAATTTGTAATTTCCGAGACAAATTGACAGGAGACATAGGAGATACTTCAATGGCATTCAAGAGCGTTTCCATATTATTGCTACCAATATATTGATGATATCTGTGGTCTAATGCTTGTTCGCCATAGATTTGAGGTTGTTGAGTAGCCACTGAAGAGAAATGAAACTTTGAATTTTGAAATTTTGGAGAGTTTAAAGAGGAATTCGTCTGCGAAGGGAATACTGAAGATGAAGTATCATTCATTTAAGAATTTAAGAATTTAAGAAAGTAATAGTAAATGTAGTAGTAATGGTAGCAGTAGTAGTTGTAGTAGTAGTTGTAATAGTAGTAATTGCAGTAGTAAAAAAAAAAAAAAAAAAAATTTATTACTATTTTATTATTATATATATATGTTTTTTTTTTTTTACAGAGTGTGATGTATTTATACGTTTATGATAAAATTACGTTTAAAGTGTGAATTAAAAACCAAGCGCGTGTGAAAAAAAGAAAATCAATTGCACGGGGGGTGAATGTATTGTGAATTTATATAAATAAAATGTGGAGTATCAGGGTTTTTTTTTTTTTTTTTTTTTTATCAATGATCTCTGTTTTTTTTTTTTTTGTAATGGTCAACTATTCATTATATTTATTATTCATTACTATTACCAGTTTATAGGCTGTGCACAACATATTTATTTTATCGTGATCTATAAATACCGATAAGACTTTATCAGCTGTATGCTACAAACAGATTAACAGATACCGTCGATTGCTCTTTGAATACAATATAAACGCAAGCGGAGTGGGCGTAGACTGTACGATTATGAAAATGTTCTAAATCTATACAAAGTGTAGATTTGCGAAATTAAAGATAAAATATTCTTGAATATCTGCATCTCGAAAGGCATTTTGAGGTTCTCCTATCTAAGCAGTATCTCGCTTATTCTTGTTCGTGTAACCTTTTTTTTTTTCTAGGTGAGCAATATATTTTATACTGTGGCATTTAGATGGATCAAAATTAGTATCGAACAAGAAACAATGAGGAAATATTGCCGTACTGTAAAAAACATATTATAAAACACAAATATATTGTAGACATATATATAATAGACACATCGTAGACATATTGTAGGCATATTGGAGAAATATTGGAGATATATTGGGGGCATATTGGAGATATATTGGGGACATATTGGAGACAATATTGGAAGCACGTTGAAAGCACATTGAAGGCACATTGAAGGTACATTGAAGACACATTAAAGGCATATTGAGGCATAATGGAGGCATATTGCGTGGGAGAGTTTAACAGCCAGCATGTTTGAATAAAAATACAGATTTCGTAAAGCCTGTTGTCTGACCTAGAATGATCAAAGATAAAAGAGATAATCTCGGTTTCATTTGATAGTCCTATGATCTTATCTATAGTTTACTAGTGGAATAAAGATTGTCTTATCAGGTATTATGCAACCAAATCAATATTATTCCCGCATTTCACCGACCTTTTTTCCCACAATATGTCACTCAGTCTCTGTGCAATGTTGCTTATTCGGATTGACATTTTTATATTCTAATTATCGTAGGTTTCATGATAACAGACTTCGTCATTTTGGCATTGCACGTTTATAATCACGTGAGCATTACATATGTTGACATTTATATATTAGGAAAAGACAAAAGCTTTCATGAATTGTACAAGTTTCGCTATCGCGTGACTATGAGATAGCAATTTAATCTGTATCACTAACGCTAAATAAACGTCGCACTTTAATATGCCGTGTATACAAATACTGAAATACCACAAAATACTTGTGTTTATTTCTATTTTCTATAGTACGTATCAATTTCATGTCCATAATAACCGATAATAACTTTATTAATTACTTTCGAAAATGCTTAGTTTCTGTCCGCATTAAATTCTGTGAACTGTTCACTTTTATTAATACAATTATTAATATAATTAATATAATGCATTGATTTATTAAATATGTAAAATAATTTTTGTAAATTTGTACAGTGTATTTATTTTGTTATTTATATTTTATTAGATAAGATGGTAAATCAAGTTTAATTACGTAATTGTTTGATATCAATATTATAAATATATGCGTATACAGTAAATTTTATTTTGATATTTACGTATGTTTAATCAATTCTTTTTGATTAGTTAAAATATTTAGCTATATAATTTAAAAATAATTTAAATACGTATAATTATTTTGCATTTAATATATAATTTTAAATACAGCATTTTTTAATCGCTAGTTACTGTATAATATTTAATTTTTTTTTTTAAGCTTAAATAAAAGCAATCCTTAATTAGCTAAAATTTGTAAAATTATATACTGTATCTTTTAAATTGTATTTGAAACAACTTTGGTTTAAAATTATAATTTTCATAGTAAACCAAAAAATATTAATAATACATATAAAAATATAGAAAATTTATAATTGTACACGAGGTGTATATATACAGGTATTGATTTTATTAATTCGGTAATTTCAAATTCGTAACATGCCAATCAAAACAATTTTTACGAATGGAAATTAAATCCTTGCTTATGGTTAGGGTAATTATGGGTTTGGGATTGGGTGAGGTATAGTTTATACCAAAATTTCTTAAGGAATTTGTTTTGTTAGAAGCAAAAGGTGGCTTCATAATTGAAAGTTTAAGATATCGGTTGGTTTTGATATCGCCCGTGTAGATACATCCTGTGTACGATAGTAATTGTCTATAATATATTATATATAAAGGCCAAATTTTAGTTAACATATGATTTTTTGTGGGGTTTGACCATTTTTACTTAATATACTTGATCCCAGTTTTCTAGACAGTTTTTGAGATATAGCATCCTGGTTTTGAACACCCTGGTATAAATTATAAATATTCTATATCGTAATGCCTTAATTTTAGTGATTACGATAACAGCTGTAACACCACTTCTCTAACTTACTTTGTTAAATCTCAAATTAGCTAGAATAGCTTAACTAAGGACCTTACTAATATCTTCACTAATAGAGACTTAAAAAGTAGGGCAGTTTATTTTTAGAACGGTGTAGCTATTCACTTTTAGCTTATTTTTCTTGCAATTAATATAAAACTCTTAACATACAATTGCAACCTTAGTTGTATTTACTAATCTTTTCATGTTTCTGTTAGCTGGAATTGTTTGTACTTATCAACTTACATGTCACATTCTTTCTAAAATAAGACATCTTGATTAGAGTTAGTGACAGAGTTGGTGACAAAGTTAGTGGGCAATGCTATATCAAAATTTGCAGAAATACTTTTTTAATTTCCATGTTACACTCCTAATTGGCCGGATCAGAAACCTGAAAGAAAACCACTTGTTCATAAATTAATCAAACTCAAGTTTAATTGCAGATTTAGGTCGAAAGTTAATTATCGCGCCACGTGATATCAGGGATTTAATATTCAAACTCCGCCTATGGCTTAAGCGGGTTTGAATATTGGATCCGACATCACATGTCGCGATAATTAAGTTCGGGATTTTGACCCACAATCATAAAAATATATGAAAATTCAAATTGCGATATCTCTTTGAACTAGTAAACATACATTTACTAGGCCGGTTTTGGTGAGTCTCTTAACGCAACAATTCTTTCTTTTTTTTTCTTAGAAATTATTTGATTTTAATAACTGATTTTTTAAAGAGGGCATCGTTATATTAAACAAAAACAATATTAAGAGACGTCTAGTATATGCAATTTTATTTGTGTACACTTATTAGTTCGAGGGATATCGATACCGTGCTTGAAGTCTTAAGTTGTTGATTGAAATTAGCCCCTGAAATCGGATCACCTTGCTAGTAACTTTAGATGTAACTTCAGGAGGATGGCAAAGTTTTATTACGTAATTAAAGCAGGAGATGATTATGATCCTAAATATATTCAATCCATATTTAACTATTCAGACTTAATCATCACTTGTTTTAAATCGGTAAAAAATGTTTTTTTTTATCATCCCTAGGGACGACTAAAGCCAGGTACATCACACAGGGTATAAGTTATTATTAAAGGCATGTACTATAGATAAAACATCTTCCCAACATTTATACTTAATGCATCAAGATAGGTTAGAAATCCGGTTCTTATTCTTTTTAAGCGTTTTTCATTTTCTTTGCTTCGTCAGAAAACGCGAAATTTCGTGATATACCTGGCGTTAGTCTATCTCAACAGGAGCAACCGTTATTCCGATATAGTTACACAATTGATAAATAATTTCTTTTACACGTTTTACACTACTACTTTTAAAAGCTCGGGTAGCTTAACTTTTTATGAAACGAGAGTAAATTTAACGGATGAATTAATGTTTTCACTTCACCTTATAACATTCATTAAATCCCACAACTTTTTTTTGCAATCTGATTGGCCGATTTACTAAAATTCGATATACGATTGGTTGATAATCACGTGTAACTATCGGAATCATATACGAATTTGAACGGTCTCTCCTCTCACAGAGTGTGAATCTGATATTCATTATTTCATATTAATACTTATTAATGCATTTCATGTTTTTTATTCTGGATACTCAGGGCAACTATGACATAAAAACCGCACTATCTACGTGACATTTGGCGTTTGACTTATTGATGCAACTAATGTAGTATGATGGGAGTGTGATATCAACCGATTATAGTTAAAGACAAGAATTGATTGTCAATTAATTAATGAGTCAATTAATTCAATTTTGTATTATAATGGGTGTGATGAATCATTTGTGTGACGAATATGGATTCACTAATATAATTAATTAATAGATTCTTATTTGTCACATACAATGATTCATCACACCCACATAGCAAATGATTTAATCCATGCGTCTTTATTTTAAATCAATTATTTTAATCATAATTTAATTGATTATATCATATATATAAACATAATAAAATTTAATTGCAATTAATTTTCGACACCCCTTGGTTAAGGTGCATGTATAGAAAAAACAGCTTTATGAAGTATACTCACTACATAGATGGAAATATGGCACAATATGTATACAGCACACGGCACATATGGTACGTATACGAATTACGGCATTTAGCATATGCGACATATGGAGCAGAAAATACCTACGTATTCATTTTGATAATGTAAATGATTTAAACCAATGACCGGCATATCGATATCGATATGGCATTATATACCGATACGGCATAATTTTTATATCTACATCAAAAATGTATACCGTGTCGTTTGCCGTAAAGAAGCTACCTTTGGCCTAGCAAATGTAGAATGAA